ATTTGGGACACTAATCAAACAGTTTCTTAATGATAAAGTACATCACCTGCTTGAGAATGACGAACCAGTATGCAGATGACGCACCTCGCCGTGATGATTTCTTCGAGTCGTGTCCGGATAATGATGAAGCGGTGATGACGAACCTCTTCCTGATGCTGATGAAGTAGAACACTGATGATGACAGGTAGCTACTACACTCACACTTCGGGTTACCTAAGGCTTACTCCGCTGAACTCCACAGGCGTCCACAAAGTCGACACCTCACAGGCCCTATGCCACGGACAAAAACGCAGCGGCAATGGAGTAAAAACGTGGAACTTCCAGAAAGCCTCCGAGAGTTAGTCTATCCTCCCAATCAACCTGTGATACGGTATAGACAAGCACCTTCGCTCCCCTCACGTGCGCAAAACGCCTGGTCCATCGAAGAAGATCGCCATACTCCACCATCACATGAGCAACCGATTAAGCAGTAGTCGTAAGCTCGACGCCCAGCCCAACCCCACCAGCGCCTCTGTCATGCCATCACCATGCGCTACTTCGCCTGTGTGATAGCGCCACAGCCAAACCGGTTCGAGTCAGGCGCACTTCCACTTCGCTGCCTCACTCCGCCGCCGTGGTTGGTACCGGGGCGCAACGCTCCCGGTAGCTCTACGCCCCAGGGGTTGCTTTCTTGAGTCTTGCACATTGTTTCGAAAAAAAAAACAGTTTTGGGTTTTGTTCTGGCCCCTTCAAGGGTCCAAACAGGGATGGAATCAGACTAATTCTAATTTTTTTTTAGAGGAGGGAGCAAGCGAGAGAGAGAGAGAGAGAGAGAGAGAGAGAGAGAGAGAGAGAGAGAGAGAGAGAGAGAGAGAGAGAGAGAGCAGGACAAGTTGGCTCCTGCCTTGAGGTAGGTCTGAAGCATAGCAGAGTGGCCCGTGGAGACATCATCTGAGGGCATTACTAACGCTAGGACCTTTTCAACTCCACTTTGGACGGTCCACATTGTTTTGAAAAAAAAAACAGTTCTGGGTTTTGTCCTGGCCCCTTCAAGGGTCCAAACAGGGCTGGAATCAAACTAATTCTAATTTTTTTCTAGAAGAGGGAGCAAGCGAGGGAAGGATAGGGGGGGCGAGAGAGAGAGAGAGAGAGAGAGAGAGAGAGAGAGAGAGAGAGAGAGAGAGAGAGAGAGAGAGAGAGAGAGAGAGAGAGAGAGAGANGAGAGAGAGAGAGAGAGAGAGAGAGAGAGAGAGAGAGAGAGAGAGGAGGACAAGTTGGCTCCTGCCTTGAGGTAGGTATGAAGCATAGCAGAGTGGCCCGTGGAGACATCATCTGAGGGCATTACTAACACTAGGACCTTTTCAGCTCCATTTTTGACGGGATCAGATGCACCCAAGTCTGACCATAATTAATATCGGATACATCGAAGAAAGTGCTAGTGTGAGTATGACATGAGCCTGAAACCAATATGGCTACATTCCACAAGTCAAATGAAGCCCAAATCCGAGACCGTTTCCAAAACCCATGTTAAACCACCAGTACTTGGCCCAACTATCGGCCGCGGAAAAAAAAAAAAGAGTAGAACCGTTTCTAGTCGGATGAATTTGGACGCTCCTGTAGTAGCTCGCACATTTCCTAAAATCATGGCGCGTTAACGGGCATGACTCGAGGAAGTACTGGTGGTTTAACTTTGAGCTTCGGTGGGTTCTCAAACAAGTCAAGAAGGGGTGAAAGGAGTAAAAGGGACTGGAGAGGGATAGATCATGGGGTCTGAATTCTTTTGTGTTTCATGTTTATCTTAGGCCACCAGTGTGTTTCCCTAGTAACTTATTCTGACACACCGGTTAAACACCAAGTTTTGTCACTCATGATAAACAGATTATGAGTCTGAACCCTGATCAGATCACATGGATACAATAATGCTAAAACAACACATATGGTTAATAAGTGGTGTCATTTTCGACGCATTTTTTACCGAAACTGCCATATTTTTCCAAATTGGTGTTTTTTTTGTTGTTTTTTTTTTTAAATAAGATATGTATGTGCTTTATTTGTATTCAGTTTCGAGGCGCTTGGACTGCTAACAAAAAAGTTGGGCAAAAAAACTGAATTCCGGAAAAAATTGGCGAACTCCGAAAACTACTCCGACATTGCTTGTGGTGGTGCGGCGAAAACCCTTGAATTTTTTACCTTCCATTAACCATCTCTCTTAAAAAACGATTGACCATATGTGGTATTGGTAATTGTGGTACTCCTGTTCAATCCAAGTCAAGAATAGACTAAATTTTAATCGTGCTTTGCTCTAGGCTGCCATATTCCCTCAAAGTTCATGGCCAGAGGCTAATCACAATAATCCTTACCAGGGCAATAGTTTCTACGAGTTGAATACTTCCTTACTCTCTCAATGCCATTGCAGACTATACATATAGGATGTATGGGAATACTGACATTCAACTAAATATAAACATGACTCCTTTATATCATGGTTAAACAATGGTTTGACTCTTATGGCAAAAAAATGGAATGAGTTTATCTTCAAGAGATTAACATTCATGAGCAAATCCTTAATTATGAACTTCAAGACCAATCACAAGATAACCCTTAATTATGAACTTCAAGGAACCCAAAAAAATGGAATGAGGATCTCAAGAACCAACTATTAACTTTCGCCCAACATCGTTGGCAAGGTTACCTTATCAGAGAAAAGTTAACAAAATTTTTGATTGAACGTCAAATGGATGTATCAGTTTTTTGTATAGCCCACACCTGGGCTAAACGGACAACTATAGAAGGGTTTTAGGATCCTTTTGAGGCTACTGACTCGGATTTAACGACTTCATCGGCAAAGAGTATATTTTTTCAAAAAACTATTTACTTCAGACAAAGACCCTAATTATCAACAGGAAGATGATACGGCAATAGAATGCTTCTCGTCTCCCTTAACACAATCGCTGAATGAAGAACTGCCAACATTTAGAGAGATCACTAGTGATGGAGGAAATCTGGACAACGCTACTACAAATGGAAAAGGACAAGACATCAGGGGTATATGGTCTTCCCAAAGTATTTTGGGAAGCAATGTGGCCAACATTTTCTGCAGATCTGATGATTTTTTTTTTTTTAATCATGGAAATAGGACAAATGGGGGAAATGGTAGACCAAGGCATCCGTACCCTTCTATATAAAAAAGTGAATACAACAAATATCCGAATCTATAGACCAATCACGCAGCTTACAACGGTTATAAGTTGCTAGCTACAACTTTAGCCAATCGGATGATTTATATTATGACTGAAATTATTAATCCCTCGTAAACAAGATTTATTAATGAAAGACACATCCAAAATAATATTTTTTTAATCAATGAAGTGATTGAATTTTCTAAACAATCTAATCAAAATGTAGCCTTTGTATTTCTAAATTTTGAAAAGGCTTATGATCATATAGACTGACGCTTCCTAGATATATGCCTACAAAAAATGAACTTTGGTCCCAACATGAGGAAGTGGGTTGGGATCCTACTCCAATGCCACAACAAGAGTCAAAGTAAATAGACTTCTTTCACCAGAAATCAAACTCCAAAGGTCAGTCAGGCAAGGGGATCCTTTGCCCTTTTCCTTTTTATAATCGTCATGGAGACCTTGGGGGCGAATCTGCAGATTAACCGTAGCATTAAACGACTACAGATCTCAGGTATACCAGAGGATGCAACTCTTATTACCTCTATGTTTGCAAATGATCTCATTGTCATGACGGAGATGTTAGAAGGGTGGATTCATTCTAATGGGGTACGCCCTCCGGAACACCCTAAAGTTGGTTGGGTTCCCTTGAACGCCCCAATGCGAATTTTGAGAGTTTCTTTGACGACACATGGTAAACTAGTTACTAATGATGATTGGATGTCCAAACTAACTCTGGAAGATAAACCAATGAAAAATTCAACATACCTAAAATTTTGGGTGAACGCTCATCGTTAACAATGTTGTCCTTGCCTCAATCTGGTACAAATCAACGTCTTTTTAATTTGTGTTCAGGTGGTTTACATCTGATTCTGTCATTGAACTCCAGAGCATTTCCCATAATTTAATTTTATTTGTAATTGCAAGGAACATGAATATGAACGAAACACAGAAATCCAGATTGCAAAATCACACTGAAGTCCAAGTAGTCAAAGCAAGAGCAGATAGCACAATGGAACCGAGTAACCATCCATTTGAGAACGATACAGAAGAAATCATGAGTCAATGTCCAAGCCCAACAGGGTAACACCAACAGCATAACCCAATGTAGCTCTCTCTCCTGAATGGCGACAGGCGCCCTATCTACTCTACAACCTAAGCCTAGAACTACAGCAATGAAAGCAACCAGACAACTTGACGACCAGTGAGTGATGATGTCAACACCAATGCCGACCCCCACCTCCACAAGGTACGTCTCTCTCCTTCACCCACACTCTCCCTTGTTATCCCACGAAGCGCCCTTCACCTCCGAAGAACCACCTTCGCCCTCACCTCCCCTGTGCCCTGTGCAGCTCGGCTATGGCCGCCAGCGCCCTGTGCACAGGCAGCGCCCTACCGCCTAGCGCCTGCCTGTCTGGCACCTCATCCTAGCGCGGCGCAGCAGCTCGCATTTGCGTAACGTGCCGGCATTGCCCGCAATGGCCAAGATCCCTGCCCACGCGCCCTGCTTGCCTATCTGCCAGTGTTGCGTGTGGGCGGCCTCCCTTCAGCCTGCGACTGGGCCTCAGTGCCTGAACCCAGGCCCGATGCAGTTGGGGCCCGGGTGATGCAGTTGCGCCTCTTTCATCAAGGCCTGCAACCAGATTCAGATAGTGAGCCGATTTCCTTTTGGCATTTTCGGCCTCTATACCCAACATGCATTGTCGGCCTCACGTTCAAGTGCCCAGGGCCTAACTAACTCAGAGGCCCTGGGATCTCCACATTTGCAGAGATTCGAGACTCGGTGCACTCCAACCAACTGGCGTGCTGCAACTGTATGAACCCCACTTCGTGAAATGTTTGTAAGTGGGCTCTTGTTGATTTGCTGGCCCGCCTTCACTTAGGGCGGGCACTAGGCTTGCCGGGGCCTTAGCCCAGAACATGTTCATCATGGCTAGGCCCCTTCTTGAGGGCTCAATCCTCACATTCCATCCCCCTTAGCTTCGAAAGTCCGCTGAGATGCTTACTTCGCAGGTGCCTTCCCTTTCAGCTTCCTCGCATACTCTGCCACCACCTGAGGAGCTGTGTCAATCAGTTCCTCTCTGGTGAACCACCGATCTTCCTTTGGATCCGTATGATGCCTGAATCTGACACGATACTCCCGCTTGGGTCTTGGAGGTCTTCCTCTACCCAATGGCTTTGGAACAGGCAGATCTCTGTGATCCACAATGTCGTCGATGTCCACTTGACCATCCATGGTTGGGGGCAGCATCGATCTCCTTGAAGGGAATTGATCAGTCTCAGCGAAAGGTGCAAGCTTTGAGGCATGAAAGACAGGGTGAGTGCGTAGGTGTCCAGGGATACGGATAACATAGGTAGGATCATCCATCTCATCCCCCACTACATCCAGGACTTCCCAAGGACCAAAATACTGAGGCATTAGTTTTCTAGAGATACCGAATTCATGTCCTAGCTCACTAGCCTTGACCCAGACACGTTCCCCTACTTGAAATGGAGACTGTTGTCGATGCTTGTTCTCAGAAGCAATCATTGCTTGCTGAGCCTTTTTGATGTGCTCGACAGCTTGCTGCAGCAACTTCTTATACTGCACACCATACTCAAGTGTGCCTGGAGTTACGGCGGATCGGTTTTCAGGTAGGAGGAAGTCTAGAGCAGATCTAGGCTTCCATCCCAAGTGCAGCTGGTTAGGACTAACGCCGGTACTGCTGTGTACAGCGTTGTTGTACAGGCTGACGATGAGAGGCAACTTCTCATCCCAGTCATCCTGGCTGGGCTTGATGTAATGCCTCAGCAGGTGCTGCACAACTCTGTTCATCTGCTCGGCCTGTCCGTTGGCTTCGGGATGATTCCCTGAAGTCATCTGAAGTTGACTGCCCATCTGTTTAGCAATTTTCTTCCACAGCTCACTTGTAAAACGAACATCTCTGTCACTAACGATTGTCTTTGGTAAACCAAAGTCACGCACCTAGTTGTCCTGTAACAACTTGATGACATGGTCCTTGCTGTCTCTGGCATTGCAACTAGTCTAGCGTACTTGGTGAATCGATCGATGATGACGAAAATGTGCCTCTTGCCACTCTTACTGGACACTAGGGTGTCCATGAAATCCATGGAAACACTCTGTCCTGGATCAGTGGGGATAGGTAAGGGCTTTAGCAACCCAAGCGGTGCTTGAGTTCGCGGTTGTCCCGCTGACAGACCTGACAGGTCTCTACATACTTCTTCGTGTCATCTAGCATTCCAGACCACCAAAATTGTTGTACTAGATTAGCACTCGTCTTTTTGTAACCAAAGTGCCCGGTTGCGTCATGACATTCTCCTAAAAACAAAGTACTCAAACGTTCACTAGATGGAACTACTAGCCTTTTAACACCGGCCTTATCAAGATAGAGTAGCCCGTCCACCATTACAAACTCACTTTTCGTGGCCTTGTCTTTTGCCTGAAGTTTGCGCATGATGTCCATCATGACAGGGTCTTCCTGATAGGCTCCCACCATTGATTGAGTTACTTCTTCAGATACACCAAAGTCAGAAACTAGCGCACCTAGGTAGTCTGCCCTACGTGATAGTGCATTTGCAACCTTGTTGTACTCTCCCTTCAGATACTCAAGCTTGAAGTCATATTAGTTTATGACTTCAATCCATCGCTTGAGTGCGTCAGAAAGAGTCGGTTGAGTCTTGATCCATTTAAGGGTCTGATGATCAGTCCTCAAGTAGAAGAACCTTCCCAATAGGAAGTGTCTCCAATGGACAAGTGTCTTGTAGAGAGCATAGAGTTCCCTTTCGTAGGTGGACTTTGCCATTTTCTTTGATGGAATTTTCTTGCTCATGTACTTAATCGGTCTCAACTTCTTCCCATCCCGCTGAGCCAGCACTGCGCCAATGCCGTATTGGCTTGCGTCAGTGGTCACTATGAATGGCTTCTGAGGATCGGGAACCATGAGAACTTCATGATTCATGAGTGCATGCTTCAATCGCTTGAMAGCACCCTCGCACTCATCACTCCAGTCCCACGGCGTGTCAAGTCGAGTTAGATCTGTCAAAGGAGAGGCGACCGTAGAATAGTTCTTTACGAAGTTCCTATAGTAGCCGCACATTCCTAAGAAAGATCTGACCTCAGTAACAGTCTGAGGTCGTGGCCAGTCTCGAATACTAGCCACCTTCGCATCTTCCGGCCTAATCCCTTTCGCGGAAACTTCATGACCCAAGTATAATATCTTAGTGCGACCAAACTCGCACTTCTCTAGGTTGACCTTATACTTGTGCTGCCGCAGGAGTGAAAGTACAGTCTAAACGTGTTGTGCATGCTCCTTGGCAGACTTACTAAAGATCAGAATGCAAGGTAAACCACGACAAACTTATCTAAATGGTCATGAAAGATCCGATTCATAGCGTGCTGGAATGTTTCCGGCACATTGCAAAGACCAAAGGGCATCACTACAAACTCATACAGACCATATCGAGTCTGAAAAGTTGTCTTATGTTGATCCTCAGGTCTTATAGCGATCTGATGATAGTCGGATTTCAAGTCTATCTTCCTGTAGTACTTGCATCCCTGCACCCTATCCAGTAGGTCGTCTATGCGAGGTAGAGGCTCTGCGTTCTTCACTGTGATGATATTGAGGCCTCTATAGTCAATGCACATCCTCAATGTATCCCCCTTCTTTGGTACAAATAGTACTGGTGATCCGTATGGGAAGTACTAGGCCGGATCCATCCCTTCTCTGTCAGCTCTTTCAGTTGTCGCCGAAGTTCATCTAACTCGGGGGAATGATTTCTATAGCATGGACAACTTCCCTTTCTACAACTCCTGTAGGCTCTTCGAACAGATCAGGGAACTTAGCAACGACGCGTTCTATCTCTGGGGGTGTTTTTACGGTCTCCCCTTTCTTAGAGACATACACAAGGTACATACCTTCCTCTTGGTTTTGTTTGTAATAATTATAGAACGCTGATGCGCACAAGCAGCCATAGGTATCTATTGTGCTACTGACTTTGAACTTAGTCAATCTGACTGTCCTGCCATCGGGCAACTTATGCGTTAGCACCTTCTTATCCCAGTTGAACTGGGGCTTAGCAACCTCAAGGTAGTACATGCCTAACAACATGTCGAATGGTAAGTCGTCGCTAACCAAGAACGAAATTTTATGATTAAGTTATCCTCCTCCATAGGAGAAGGTACAAACTACATCCTTGATATAGTCTGTGACTATCATACGCTCCTTGTTGGCCAGAGTAGATGCTACAGGTCTACTAAGGTGTCGTACCCGGTCCTGTAGGTGCAGCCTTTCCAAACAGTCGCGACTTATGTAATTCCGCGTGGAGCCTATGTCTATGAAGGCACCACATTTGCGGCCTCCTACATCGACTTCCACCACGAAATATTCCCCTCTAGGACCTTTCCTTAGCGCCACCCAAGATTCGCGAGGGTCCTTGTTTGACCACTCACTTTCCAGATCTTCTAAGGCTTCAGACACATCCAACGTACAGAGCATAGTTTGGTCAGGATGAGTCTGCGGGGTGACTAAAGAGTCATTAGCTATGGCCTGCTCATGAAGTGGGGAGGGTATCAGACCCACTTCAACTTGAGTAGAAGCAGCTAAAACTTCAACCGGCCTCACATGTTTCCCGAGCTAGAAGCCTGGGAAGAAGATGCCCCCATCTTAGGAGGTATCTTCTGCGTGACCTTTGCGTTCTGACACTTGTAATGGGTGTGTCCGTATTCACCACAGTTTATACAAGCGCCACGCACTCGGCGGTTCCGCCACACGTCTTGATCAAGACCTGCCTTGATCCAATCAACCACTTTGGTCTCATTGGAGGCGGCCTTCCCTTGACTCTTTGGATGACCCTTTCCTCGACCACCCGCCTTAGCCTTTACTACTGCGGCGAGGGTGCTACCCTCAGCGGTCTCCTCGCCGTCGTACTCTGAAACGTCCAGTAGGTCTGTGAGCTCATCGATCTCTGTTTGAGTCCCATCGGACTCAACCATCATCAACTTCGCCCCCTTTTTCTTCCACTCCTGGGGACTCTTCTTCTTCTTTGAGTCGTTCCCTGAGGTGGGTTGAGCATTGCCTAGTGTTGCCTCTAAGTCTAAGGCGTTTCTAGACAATGTCTCAAACAAATGGTACTCGAGGCGAGCCTCGCTGGCCAGCAAGTTCCTGAGGTTCTCTGGAAGACATCTAATAAACGTAGTCAACAGGAACTGGTCACTGTAGTTGATGCCTGGAACGACGATGAGGCTTTCTATGGTAGTCGTAAGCTCTCTGACTGACTTAAACTTTCTTTGATCTAGTCTATTTATCGCATCAGTGGCTATTTGTGCCTGCTGAGGATTGTGCCAGCGAGCTTCTACCATCTCAAAGAACTGGTCTAACGTAATAGACTGAGCCCAGTCCGCCATACGCCGTCCATACCCGACCTTTGCAACTATACCATCTAGCCATTTGGCTGCCTTACCTTCGAGGCAAGATGCAGCAGTAACCACTTCGTCCTCTGGCAAGGTCCTTTTCGCCTTCACCCAAACCGGAATTGTTCTCAACCAAGTGTTGAGTTCTTCGTCCTTCCTCTCGCCTGAGAAGGCAAGAGGTGGTTTCATAGGGGTCTTAGGGTACTATTGACCTTGCAGTTGTCCCTGTAGAGGAACAGGTTGTTGCGGTGGTGTAGCTCCCATCGCTGGACCCGAAGAAGAAGAAGCAACAGTCTGTGCGGCTGCTGCAGACGTGCCACTTGGTTGTGTGCCAGCTTGTACGGGAAAGGGGCCTGACATCGCCGTTAACGGCAACGGCGACTGTGTTGGTGGCCTAAGTCCTGGATGTAGGCTTTGACAAAGTCCTTGGACTTCGGCCAGACGTATAGGCGGCAAACACGAGCCAACGTCTTGTGGAAACCCATATGACCGGCAACTGCCTGGTCATGGAACTCTGCTACAGCCTGGACGCGGAGCTATCCGGTGGAGGGAACGTAGATACGTGGTTCTAGCTGAACAGATCTGCCATGCCAGTACACAAGGCCATTCTCCCCGAGGGAGTAGGAAGGAACGGTCTTGCCACTTCGAAGTGTCGCGTGGATGACGCGATAATCGGGGCAGTGGCGGTACTGAGTGCGATACGCGTCGATCACCGACTGATCAACAGTGGTGATGGAGATGGCAGCAAGATGGATGGGTTCCTGATTGTGATCAGGACGGCGGGACAAGGCATCGGCGACGCGGTTCGTTTCACCCTTGATGGGCTGAGTGGTGAAACTGAACTCGGATAAGTCACGCCACCAGCATGCCTGTCGAGGGGAAAGCTTAGGCTTCGTGAGGAAAGCCTAGACAACTCAGTTGTCTGTGCGCACCGTGAAGGGCACCCCGTGCAGATAATGACGCCAATGCCGGGTAGCATAAACTACTGCGAGAACCTCACGTTCATCGGCAGTGTAGTTTATCTCGGTTGGCAGTAGCTGACGGGAGTAGAAAGCTATCGGGCAATCCCCAGCACGAGCCTCGACAGTCCCATCCTCCGCGATGGTTGGGGATTAAGTAACAGGAGGACAGTAAGTGGAGGGAAGTGGTGGGAGGGTAGGCGTTAGTCGAGAAGCAGTGTCAGCAGGAGGGGGGGGAAAAGGAGGAACATGGGGGTAAGGTAAATCTGGAGGAGAGGGAAACACCTAAGAAAGGACAGCTCCTACTGCAAAATCTGATGCATCGGTGGTGACGATAAAGGGACGATAAAAATCGGGAAGGCGAAGAACTGACGCACAGGTCACCGCCTTCTTGAGGGCGCGAAAGGCGTCCTCGCACAGGGGTGTCCAAAACCACGGCGGGTTCTTCCGGAGAAGGGTAGAGGTAAAGACGTAGAAATACCTAGCGTATCCCTGGATAAAATTACTATAGTAGCTGGTGAGGCCTAGGAAACTGCGAAGCTGCTTGGCAGATGTGGGGATGGGCCACTCTGCAATAGCACTGATCTTCGCGTCGTCCATGTGGAGACCCTGGTCAGACACATGGTGTCCTAGGAAATCCACTTTGCGTTGGGCAAAGCGGCACTTACTGAGCTTGGCATAGAAGTCATGCTTGCGTAAGCGTTGTAGGACATCGCGGAGGTGTCTGAGATGGTCTTCTAAGGTACGACTGTAGACCAGGATGTCGTCCAGGTATACGAGAACGTATTCTTCAAGGATGTCCCTGAAGATGTTGTTCATCGCCGTCTGGAAGGTGGCGAGTACATTGGTGAGGCCGAATGGCATCACTGTGAACTCGTAGTGGCCGAAGCGCGATCGGAAGGCGGTCTTCGGCTGATCCTCTGTGGCAACGCGGATCTGGTGGTAACCGCTACGAAGATCGATCTTCGTGAAGAAGCGGTTGCCTGCCAGACGGTCAAACAACTCATCCGCGCGAGACATGGGATAACTGTTCTTAACCGTGTAACGGTTAAGGCCGCGGTAGTCGATGCAGAGGCGGAGAGTTTCGTCCGCTTTGCGAGCGAAGAGGACAGGTGCACCCCAAGGGGAGTTACTGGGTTTAATGAAACCTAGTCGAAGGAGCTCCTCAAGCTGACGCTTGAGTTCCGTCGCCTTTGGAATCGAGAGTTGGTACGGTGCCTGATGGTGAACACGATAGTCAGGCACGAGCTGGATAAAATGCTCAACACCGCGCATCGGGGGAATCCCGCTGTATGAGAAATACGGGGGAAAGATGTCGCGGTACTCTCGAATCAGGTCGCGAACGGCGGGCTCTAAGTCTGCCGTGAACCGTGTGAGTTCCTCAGCATCTGCGTCGGCATGAGACGTATGTGTGGACTCGACAGTCGACGACGCAGAGGCCTGGGACGTGGAGGGGGTATCCGCAGGCTGACGGGTGGATGTAGAGATGGGAGCCGCTAAGATGGAGGAAGGGTCAGGGGGATCAGACTCCAGAGAGATGAGCTCAACCTCGGGACAAAGTGGATTATAGCGAAGAAGATCCATGACGTTCACTGAGTAGAACGTGACGTCCTCCTGTCGTATGAAGTGAGCAAACTAACGAGGGGAAGTGAAGGCGATGTCAGGGTGAGACCCTGAGGGACGAGTGTCTCGGGGAGGTAGGTCGGGAGGAGTGTCGCCCATGGTTCCAATGAAGGGGACGCGATGGGTCTGACCACACTTCGTTTTGAGAACGAGTGTCTCGGTCGCCCATTCGGCCTCTGTGCTATAGAACCGGCGAGACCAGGGAGTGTCAAGGATAAAGTCGTACCCACTCTCCAGCACATCAAAGTATGCGGAGGAATGGTAGCGTCGAGGCGCCTGGGTACTATCCGGTGGCTGGAGGGTGAGGGAGAAGTGAAGGTCGGGGACCGTCTGATCGAAGAAGCGCTGCGTCTTGTTATCTCCGAGGGTAACGGAGATAGGAAAGCGAGACCCAGAGGTAGCTAGACGAGTTTCCTCAACCACTCGAGGGTGAACGAAATATCCCTGCGAGCCAGAGTCCCATAAAGCGCGATACACTCTCATAGATGTCCCTAGGCGAATAGGGATAATGGGGAGGGTACGATCAGGGTCTGAGAGAAGAGCGAGAAGACGACGCAGGACGTTTACGTGTCTCGTGAGTCGCTCCTGACGAGCCTGAAGAATGCTCAAATCCAGGAGAGATGACACAACGTCATCGCGAGTCGCCAGCTGAGCGCTACAACGGGCTGTGCGAATGGCGCGACGCGTCGGAAGTCTCGGGGGAGAAGCGCTAGATGCGGCGGTCTGCTGGGAGGCAGACGATACCTCGACAGACGACGGGGTAGAGAGAACTGCGTCTGTCATGTCCTGAGGATCCTCTGGTGGGGTAGCCAAAGGGGCAAACTGCGACTCGGTGGTCGGGAAGCCGGCTACGAGCGAGGCCTCAGGGGTACACTGCACCGTGGCTAGCTGGCTGGGGCTGGCCGGGCGGGGCCGGGGGGGGGCTGAGATCGGCGCTGACGAGAAATGTCAGCGTAGTAACGATCGAGGGCGGTGTGGTATGGACACCGTGAGGTGTGTCCATCTCTGGCGGCAATGAAGGCAGCCGCGTCGGGCCTCGAGGGCGGCACGCTCCTCGGGGGATAGAGCTCCGCGAGGAGGGACAAAACCCTGCGGGAGGTCTATCTGAGGAACTGTGGGTGTGCGGGCGCCAGCCTGTGCAACCCGACTGCGTGCACGACCCATGGCAGACATGGCCATCTGCAGGCGCTCGGCCATTGGGACAGTGTCGTCATCCAAGTGGTACTGGATGACGTCCCGAAGCTCGATGTCCTCGGGGGCGTCCCCAATGGTAGGATCGAGCTTGGCTGAGGTGTCCTCTCCATACCCGAGAGAACTGTAGTGCTGAGCGAATGGCGCTCCAGGTCGAGCCGGATGACGAAAACGACCAGCAAACGAGGAGCGGCCTCGGGTGGTACCCCGAGATTGGGAGGTGGCGGCTGGCCGCGAAGAGGATGGGGCGACGGAGAAGCGACTGCACATCCTCTGGTACTGACGCGCAGCCTCGTATGCCTGCTCCGCGGAAGAGAATGATCGCCTCCATAGCCCTAGGAGGTAGTCAGTCGGCAGGCTGACAAGGAACCGGTCGGTGAGTGTGACATCCGGTAGGAACGTCTCGTTGCAAATAAGGCGAGCGTCCTGAAACACCCGGATGTGACGCTCCAAGTCGGCCGGTACAGAGGACCCGGACCATCTGGTCTGGGAGACGCGATCTAAGGCGTCGGTGGCGTCATGATGAGCGCCGAAGCGGTCCTAAAGGAAGGCCACAAAGTCGGCCAGAGTGGGGACCTCACCCACTCGGAGGCGCTGGGTATAATGATCCTCCCACGCAGTGGAAGGGCTACCTCGCAATTTGGTTGCGAGCAGATCGCACCACAACTCCTGACGGGTGGTCGTCATAGAGAGTGTACGTGTTGCTATCTGCAACCAGCGAGAGACACGGGATGTGCCATCATACTCAGGAATGTCCGTGGTGCGCACAGGAGGATGTTCACTGTGCTGATGGCGGGGGGAGAGAGATCGAGGCGAGTGCACTGCCGCGGCGTAAGTCGAGGCCGCTGCTGGGGCGGGGGTGGGAAAAGGCTGTGGGCCGTTGCCGCTGGCTGATGGACCAGCAGACGAGGAGGCAACGACCGCGGGCAGCTGTCCCGGAATAGCCAGGTAAGAGGGAAGAGGCTGAGGAGCAGGTCGAGGGAAACGAGCCTGCATCATGGGGACCGAAGGGGTGGTCGAGGAGGAAGGGTGGGCAGCCTGTGATGGGTGAGGCTGTCTCAGAGCGAGAATCTCCGCTTGAGCCTGCGCGATGGTGGCCTGTAAAGTGGCCACTCGCTGGGTGCGCGGGATCGGAGGTGGAGGGGGCGGAGCGGGTCTCCCAGTGGGAGGAGGAATCCCAGCCTGGGTGGTACCCTGCTGTGGGGGCGGGGAGACGAAGGCAGGAAGAAGAGGGCGGAGCCATATTGCCGCGACCGGTGCGGGAAGCTGGGAAGCAACACCGGTGTGGGTCGATGAAACTGTTGGGCCAGAAGGCGGTACCTGGACCGCAGCACCTACGGCAGTAGTAGAGACGGTAGGGGCGGCCGTGGTCGGAAGAACTGCCGCAACAGACGGGGTAGTCTGAGCGGCAGCAGCACTCGCCACCGCTGAGGGGGAGTGTTGGGCCTAGCCCGTAGAGGAGGGGGAACCATGGTGACTCCGTCTCCGGAGTCCTGGGAGCTGGAATCGGAGCCGGTAGGGGAAGGGGTGTGAGAGCGGTGGAGAGCGATGAGGGGAGCCCTTGAGGCGGTTGACGTCGAGGGCTAGCGCATTGATTTGCGCTTGCAACGGTCCAAGCGTACTAAGTTGTGCCTGGATTGCTATAAGGACGGCATGAAGGTCCATCGTGTCCGCATGGGCCTGATCATGAGCCGCTGACGGCGCGCTGACCTGGGGTGTGGACTGCGCCGTGGCGATATCCTCGGATGAACTCCCTTCCATGGCTGGAAGGGGAATGGAGGTAGTCCTCAGAGGAGTGTGGGGAAAGGGGCCCACCGGTAAGAGGAAGGGGGCTGCGGGAGCGGAGTGAGTATGTGTGAGTCGGCTTGCCTCGGATTTTACAGGTCGCGCGTGAGACGAAGGCGCCGAACCGCTCGAGGGGGGAGGAGTCGTCCAGGTCCAGGGTGCCCGACGGGAGGAGGCGGGAGAGTAGGAAGGGGGGCGGGAGTTAGGAGAACCTTAAACC